TAAATTCCTAGAAATTAATCATTACGTCAGACAAGAAAAATTCACATAAAGACCTAAAATTGGACCCAGCTCGCTCCTTTATCATTTCCAATTGAGCTGTAATATACTGAGCAGCTTCTCTTAAACCAGGGCGCCCTTCCTATCAAAAACCGTACGAAATTGCTAATAAGTAACTCGACCCAGAAACAAAAATAGTAATCAATCTCCCAGTAGAAATTACACTAGCGAATTCAAATCAAACACAGAAAAATCCTAAATAAAAGTTTTTTATTTGGACTCCAAAAACAAAAAAAAGAAAGAAAAAAATAGTGAGGCTATTGAACAGCGAGCGAGCTCACTTGGCGACCATCGATTTCTTGGGCCAAGACTCGAACATGCTCGACGGCTCTAGCTTCCGAGAAGCGATCGAGAGGAGCGTCGATCTCGAGCGGCTTAATGAAGTGCATGTGGATAATAGAGTCGACCAGCATCGCAATGAGACCGTACGTCACCGCCAGGATGAGCAATAACTTGAACCCGGAAACGTCGCCGGAGCTGAACCTCAACGCCATTTTCTCGATCCCTCTCAAAACCTAAAGACAAGGAACGAGGCCAATAAAGGTGGGTTCGCGAATATGGTGAAGAAGAGGCTGTGGGTTTTGTTTTGTGAGAGAGAGTGAGGTCGGTAAGTGGAGAAATGCGTAAGAAATTTCCAAACCACCTCCCGCTACGGGACGTTTGTGATCGTTGTGATTCGTTTTGTCTCTGGCTCCTTAGCGTGCGAAGCATGTGATGTAAATTTGGTAAATTGGGCTGGTCGGTCGGTCAAAGTGGTTGGCCTTTTAATATGAGCTCGGTTAGACTAGGGTTTATTTATCATGCGTTTTGGGCTTATTTCGATTGTATCATATTATTTGGCTAATTTGAGAATGTTTTAATAGGAAAATTTTCCAGTTATAAGCGTTTTTATTAGAAACAATTTTATTCTCAATATGTCGTAGTCTGAATTTATAAAGGGTTGGGTATTGTTGATTGGTTTTGGAATGGAATTTCAACTTTCTTCATGATATTAGAGCAAAACTTCACGTGTTGAACTCAACGGCCATACATGCTTTCACATCACCCAATATGTGTTATTCACATGTTAGGCTTGAAAGTTGAGGAGACCGATACCACTATCTCTATTTCTACTTTTCTACTTTTCTTCTTTTCTTTTTGTGTGTGTAACTACTAACTATCAATTGTTCATTCACATGATAAATGATTTCATATCTTGTTTGGAACATATGCATTATCTGCTTTCCTTTTCCAAACTATGTCAAATCTACAAAACAAAGTTAGAGGTGATGGTTACCAGTGGATGCACCATGCGTGTTTGAAGCATGTTGATTTACACATTCATTTTCTCACTTCTTTTATCATTAAAAGCATGTCAACTTGACTCATTTTGGTGCTCATTACTTTTATTTATGGAACTTGTCACAACAATACAATTGATGTGTGATGCGCATTATTATTTTTAAGCTAAAGTTGATTGGTCGAGTGTTGATCACAAATAAGTATACTTTACCTTTTTCTGTTTTTTTTTTTTTTTGGTTCCACCAAAGATGAAGATAAAAATTATTTATAAATTAACAAATAAAAATAAAGAACTAAAGACGAGAAGGCTTTTGTGAATGACGAATCCTTGAAGCAAGGCCCAAAGCCTTTTTTATTCTCCCATTTGTTTTTTTGCCTCCTTAACCAAATCTAACGGATAGTTAAGTTTTAGTCTCTCTCTCTCTACACTCGGCACCAAATGGCCGGTCAGTAATGTCAAACAGATCTCAGAAAATGTACGGAAAAGCCGCATTCGCTCTCGTCTTCGCTATCCTCATACTCCTCATCACCTACTCAATCTTCATCGGCACTGTCGATATACGATCCTACTTCCTCCCGCTTCTGCCGTCGCCACCGCCAGGTGCACAGCCCCTCTGTGCAACCGGCCCGCCCCCCAAAGGCTACATGTACGCTCACCCGC